GGGAGGGGGAGAGGGCTGCGGGGTCGCACGGCGCGATAGCAGACGGGCCGAGTTGCGCTCCGCCGTGACGCCGCGCGCGGCGCCCCTTGCCACACGTGTTGTGGCCCCTCGAGCCACGGCCTCAACCTACTATTCAACCAGCATTTGCCCGCAAAGTCCATTCCTAGAGATGGCCTGACACACTGGTGCACGCACGCACGCACACAAGCACACAAGCACACACACAGACACATATACACACTCACACGCACACACACATACACACATTTACACACATGCGCCCACCCCCCACCTGGTGCACCAGCCTCTTGCTAACGAGCGCCTCCAGGCCCTTCTTGTCAGACGCCACAGCCTGCTCCGCCATGCGGTGCGCCGCCGCCGCGTCCGGGTTGCGCGGCGTCTCAAACGCAGGCAGCACGAACACGCGCTTCGCGGCGCACTCGCGCTGGAGGTAGTCGACGCTGCAGGAAGCGGGGGTGTTCAGGAAACAGCGGCGACGGGTGAGCCGGGCGTTTGGAGGGCCGGCGCGCCCGAGCTGTGCGGAGCCGTGCCGCAGCATCGCGCGAGCAGTCCCCGCCGGCGGCTGGCCGAGGGCGGCTGCGGCGCTGGAGCCGCAGCGGACGGGGCGGCGGCGGCGGCCGCGCGGCGCGGTCCCTTCCCCCCCTCTTGCACAACTAGAGCCTCCTGCCCCCATGCCATCGCCCCACCGCTCCACAGCCAGTCACGCTCAGTCAGGCCCAGTCACGACACGCCTGCCTCCCCCTTGCCACGAGTCAATCATCCAATTCCCTGTACACTCTCCCAACTCACTTATCCTTGACCTCCATCCAGTCTGTGAGGCTGGACGACACAAGCAGGTCGACGTCAATCATGGCCACCAGCCGCGTGCGCGCCTGCATCGACGGCGCGGGCGCGCAGAATGCGGAGACGCGCGCGTATTCGCGTGGACAGAAGTGTCAAAGCGCCGCCCCTGCCGCTGTTGACACTAAGCACCGAGTGCCCAGGACCCCTAAAACCACAACCTTCGACCGCTGCGCTCTACAACCCGGCCGTAAATCCGCGCCATTTGCAACCGCTGCGTGAGGGTTGTGAAACGCATTGAGATGTCTTAGGCAGGAGCCGGCTCCCAGGGCCCCTGGGCCTCTGGTCCACCCCCCACCTGCAGCAGCGCATAGTTGCGCATGGTGTTGATGGGCAACAGCAGCGTCATGACATCGTCCGCCACGACCTCGTACAGCAGTGACACGTCCAGCTGGCAGCCATCAGCCACCTCAGACCTGGGGAGGGAGGTCCGGCAGAGTGTGGTTGTAGGTGAGTGTGTGTGTGTGTGAGCGCATGTGTGGTATGTGTCTAATGTTGGAATGTGTATTTGTGTGAGTATGTGTGTGTGTGTGCTTATGTGTGTGTGCATGCTCATGTGCGTGTGCATGTGTGTTTGCATGTGTGTCTTTGCATGTGGTGGCGCATGCCACATTGTGCACGTGTACATGTGCGTCACCCGAGTGAGTCACGCGCAGCTGTCCAGGGTCTGCAGTCCACGCAGGGGCGCCTCGACAAGAAGCGATCTGGCATTCTGCAGCGCTCCGCCGCCCGCGGCCGCGGCGTGGACTCGCGGCATTCCGTCCCCCGGCCACCGCCCCACCCCCGGCCACCGCGCCCCGCCCCGCGAGGCGCGGGCCCCGTGCGAGGCCCTGGCTCACTTGGCGTGGAAGGTGGCCACTGCGTCCGCCGCATCCGCCAGCGCCTTCTCGCCCTCCGGCCCCACGCCGCCTTTGCCGTCGCCCTTCACGACCAGGTACACCGCCGCGCTGAGCGGGCCCCGCCAGCTGGCGCACTGGTGGGCCAACTGCTCGAGTCGACTGGACGTGAGGCCAGTCGTGACGGTTAGCGGCACGCGCGCGGGCTTCTCGCTCCACCAGGCCTTGCGCAGGCGCAACCTGCGGAGGGAGATTTTGGATGGGGTGCTTGGAATGTGGCGGCTGGGGGCGCGGAGACTGGCGCGGCCAAAGCGGGGGGCGCCAGCTGGGGGCCTGTGAGCAGCACCGGGCGCGCACGAGCAGGAACATCACCTGCCGGTGCCAGCGCCGCCGCGCTGCGAAGCGTCACACTCACCTCACGGGTTTTCCTGATACAAAATCGCTGTACACGGTCTGCTTGTCTTGGCTCTGCTCGGCGTTGAGGCAGCTGATGTAGCTGCTGGCGGGCTCCTGCGCGCCGAGGGCCACCGCGGCCAGTCCGAGCAATGCAAACAGGGCCAATATACGGTCAGGTGTCATCCTATTGCTGGGCGTCATCCGGCTGGTGCTGCGGTCCCAGCCAAGCCGAAGCTCGTCCGTTCAGGCGATAGCAGCCATGACAAGACCAGTTTAGACAGAGATATGAAATCGGACGCCCTCACGAAATGATCGTGGTTGGATGCAATGCTGCAAGTCATCGACTGCTGGCAGCACGGTCAACGTTGCGATGCGACCCTACGCGTCACGCATGTGCTCCATCGGGCGCGGACGTGCGGCCCACTCAGCTACGCCCTCCCCGGCGCATATCACGGCAATTTTGTACTTGCAATTCCCTCTGAATATCAGGTTTCACGCCTCAAGCCCCACATATTTGCCACAACTGCTTCGCACACCACATGCATGCATGTTGACGAAGGTTGCCGACCCACTGTGTTTGGCGGAGCTAGCTGTGCCCCTTCGCATCAAGTTCCTTGTTTTTTCTCATCTGCAACTGGTCGTCGGTCAAATCGGACACACGATTGGGGCTTCAACGCAAGGTGGTGGTGCACGTAGTCATTGTGTGACCCGTTCTGTGAAGTGGAGAGATTGTGGCAGGTGGGGCTCAGTGCGCTCGCGTCTGCACCCCGCCACACGGCGAGTGTGCATCTGCGCTCACAGCTCATTGTCTATGAGGTCGCCATCACAGCCATTGATGATGGACAGCCGAAATCGTGCTGCTTGCGCGCCCTGTTGGGCTGTTGCCCTGCTGGGTTGCACGAACTGAACCAGGGGCGCGTGAGACGCACATTGCATTGCGGCCATTGCATGGCCGTCAAACCGCTTGCAGAACGTGCTCAGACAGCAGGCACGCTGTGCTGTTGGCTGTCGCAGACAGCCTGGTGACGGTGTGAGCGAGCCGGGCCACTGGTTGGCTGGGGCGTTCTCCAGCCCCAAGCACCAACAGGGCGTTGCGCCCAGTCAACGTCAAATGTGTGTGCAGTGGGCGAGCCTCTGGGTCGGTGACAGCGTTGACCGGGCAGGAAGACATTTCGCGGTGAGTGAAAGTGAGCACGCCGGCTGTGCACATGGCCGGCGGGCTGAGCGCTGGCTCACTCAGGCGCTGTACACTGGTGAGCTGCTGGGCGCAAACGGGCCGGGGCAGAGGGAGTTTGCAGAGGTACACGTCGAGGGACCAAATCTACCTGTGTGAGGCACAGCTAAGAAGCCGAGAAGCAGCACGAATTAGGGTGATCACTCCAGCGCGGATGGTGGGACCGACAGCGGCGGGAAGCTGCGCCGCTGCAACCGGGCACCTGGCCCCCAAAGTTGGTTCCCGACAATGTACATGCCTGCACATTGGCCCGGAGTCGTAGAGGAACGGGGCGCGCACGTTGCACAACAGAAGAGCCAAGCGCGAACCAACCTGCGTCCTGGACCACCACGCTCACCCGATTCTGGCGGTCCACAGCCATGAGCCTGGGGCAGCTAGCTGCCTCGTACGCCTTTCTTTCTACCTACGTGCCGTGCTGCGTGGTGCCGGTGAAGCAGCCTGGCTTGCCACGCTTGCTTGCAGCGCTGCCCGCGATCGCGGTATGTCTCTACAGCCCAGCGCTCGTCCCATGGGTGAGTCTTAAAACTTCTCAGTGTGTGGTCGACCTGGGCACCCTGTAGGACGAAAGCTGGACGAAAGGGGGTCCGCTCACTCACTCACCCGCGTTGCCCGCGCCTCCACGAAGGGCATCCCACGGGTGGTCGTGGGCTGCATTACAATGTGGCTCAGCACGTTCAAGGTGCGGGACGTGCGGTGCCGCCCTGATGCACGATCCGCGTGCACGGAGCGCCGCTTTGCTCGGTGCCGCAGGGGCCTCGTCGCAACCACTGCGGCCGCGCCCGGTCCCGCCAAAACAAGCCTCGTGCCTCATGGCGCGCGATGGGAGTGTGCAGCATGGCTCTGGCTGATGCACGACGCAGCGCACGTTGCTCGAGCAGCGGGCGGCCAGCCCGGCCGCTCAGCACCGTCACTTTTGGGCCGCAGCCGCTGCTGCGGAGTGCGCAGCGCCGCGCGCGCACGCCCCGCCGCCGGGCGAGCCCCCTGCCCCTGCCGCTCGCAGCACCCGGCGCAAATCCCTCCCACAGCCACGCCTCCCACCGCTCTCGTCTCGTCTGCCCTCCTCGCCAACCTCTCCCTCCAACTCAACCCACACAAACACACACACCCACCTGTTTCATGTCAGTTGATTGCCTACGCCTACAACCGCGGGCCCATGTCCCGCACTGAGCTAACCATGCTCCAGCGAACCCTGCTGTTCCTGCTGCCCGTCCACCCGCGCTCGCCGCGATGGGGTGAGCCGCCGCCGCCGTCCGCCGCCGCCCGCAGCTCTGCGGCTGCCGCTGTCGTTCGGTCCCCCACATGCGCGAGCGGCGCGACGCGCCCCGTTCTGGTGTCCTCCTGCGCATTATCCGGCGCTCAAACGCCGCGCGCGTGCCCTGCACGTGCGTGTGCGCAGGCAAGCCGCCGACTCTGGGTTGGAACCTGCTGGTTTTGCTGGGCAAGGTGGCGCTGCAGGCGGTGGTGGCGCTGCTGCTCACATACGTCTCGCTGCACCCCTTCCTGGTGCACAGCCTCTGGGGTGAGCGGGCGCGCACGCGCAAGAGAGAGATGCAGGAGCCTGCGGCGCCGGGGGATGGGAATCGATGTTGCGGCGGCGGTGAGAGGGGCCCATGCGGTCGCGGATGAGGGCCGGCCGCGCCCTGTGCCCCGCGCATCGCGGCGGACCTCTATCCTGATTTTTGACCGAGCCATCGCTGCGGCTTGGCCACACGTGCGCACCGTCTCTGCTGCAGCTGTGTGCATCTGGAACCTGGTGGCGATGGGGGTGGATATCCTGGTGCCGTTTGTGCAGGTGGGCTGGGCGGCGGCGGCGGAAACGGCGGGGGCGCGTGGTGACAAGGGTGTACGCATGCTGGCTGGTGGCCGCGGCAGACCACCGCCCATGCGGCAGCGGCTGGAGCGGATCCTTTGGTGGATTGCGGCAATGATTCGTGAGGAGCATGGCCCACGGCGCTCGGCCGGCAGTAGAACAGGCAGAAAGCGGCCTGCTGCCTCGTCAGCGGCGGTGGCCGGTCAAGCTGATGCCATTGGTGCCAACGCTGCTGGCGGATTCAGCTGCGCCGTGCGGACGATACCCACTAGGCCGCAGGGGCCCCTCTTTCGACAGCTTAGCTTGCGCCGATCCCCCAAAGTCCAACTGGCCCGCCCCCGCGCACTCCCCCCCTTCGCCCCGGTTTCACTTGCTGCTGTGCAGTACGTGATGGGCATGCCCCTCAACCCCTCCATGAACCAGCCCTACCTGTCAGTCACGATCCAGGAGTTTTGGTCCCAGCGGTGGGCGGGCTGCGCCACAGGGGGTTCTGGCGGGCGGCCGAAAAGCTCCGCAGAGCAGGGCGGCAGTGCAATGGAAAGACACGAGGCTGCCACGCCGCATGAGGGGCCGCCGCCTCGGGCGGCTCCTGGGCCGCCAGGCGCAGGCCCGCGAGGGCCTGCGCCGCCGTGCGGCACCCGCTTGACTCCCCTGCTTTCCGCCGCCGCGCCTGCACCCCGCAGGTATAACCTCGTGACCACCACCTGCCTCCGCCAGTCGATCTACGAGCCGATCATCGACGGCTCGTTGATGCGCCATCCGCCGAAGGCCGACGGGGCCCCCAGCAAAGGCGGGCGGGCTGCTGAGGTCGTCATTGCACGCCAGGCATCTCTGGCCACCGCCTTCGCCCTCGCGACGCAGCACTCTGTCGTCGGTGCCGCCGCCGCCGCGGCGGCCGCGGCGGCCGCCAGCGCGGGCCTCGTGGCCGGCGACAGCGCGAGCGCGGCCGGCAGCAGCGGCAGCAGCAGCAGCACGGCGAGCGACACAGAGACTGACACGGACGGCTCCAGCGAGGGCGACCAGGCGGCGCGGCGCTCGGGCGACGCTGCCGGCGGCGGCGGCGGCGCGGGGCTGCGGCGCCGGAAGCCCGCGGCCCTGGCGCGCGGGGACGACGTGGCGGCGCTCGTGGGCTCGGACCAGGGGGAAGCTGTTGGCAGCGTCAAGGTCGGGAAGCTTCCGCAGCTGCAGGCGCCCTTGAAGCTCGCCCCGCCGCCGGCATCTGGCGCGCCCGCGCCGGTTCCTGAGTGGCGGAAGAGCCTGGCTACGTTCATGGTGTTCTTCATGAGCGGAGTGATGCACGAGGGGCTGATCTGGTGCGAGCGCGCGCGAGATTCGGGGCGCGCGATCTGGGGGCCGCAATCTGTGAAGGATTCAGGGCGGACGGCGGGAGGCGGCCGCGGCCAGGGGCGCCGCGCCAGCAACCGAAGGCGGCGGCCGGTCGGTCAGGTGCGGCGCGGCCGAGCTCTGCCGCCGGGCTCGCGGTGCATGGCGTGGGGTCGCTGCCAGTGCCGGTTGCGCTGGATGAGCTGACCGTGATGGTTTTGGCCGGCCGGTGTGCAGGTACATGTGTCACGCCAACGGCTACCGGGACACGGGGAAGTACGTGTTTGGGCCTGTCATGGCTTTCTTCGTGCTGCAGGTGAGGGGCCCGCGCGAGGGGCCCGCCTGCCGGCGTGTGTGAGGCAGCCAACGCCTGTGTGTGGCAGTGAGCGTGGAAGCGTGTGCATGCGTGCGCGTGGGTGTGCGGGTTGGTGTGGGTCGGCTGGGCCGCGCCTGCAATACACCCTGGGTCGCTCAAGAGCCCCTCACAGCCGGACGGAGGGCGGGCGCTGCTGCGGGGCTCCGCCCCTGGGTGCCGGCCACGCCCTTGCCCGCAGGCGGCGCCGTCGCACTCTTCCTTCGCCACCATGCCGCCCCTGCCGCCCACCCAACCCGCTGCTCTTTCATATCTCTCGCAGGCCCCGGCGCTGCAGGCCGAGAAGCAAGTGCTCAAGGCCCTATCAAAGCTCCGCGCCGCCGCCCTCCGCCGCGC